GTACAGCGGCGTGCTGAAGCCGGACGAGTACGAGCCGCACGGCGAGGACAGCTGGCTCGACGAGCTCGATCCTTCTGGATTTGGTATCGCTAAACTCTCCGCCTCTTTCTCCGCCGACCGCTTGAATAGATCGGCGTAGAGCAGAGGTTTTTTCCGGTGATGACAGTCGAAAGCCATTAGCGTTACAGAGAAAATATTATGAATATGATTTTCAAATTTGTGAGCGGAATATTCGTGTTTTTTTTTGGCTGTATTTCGGTATTTATGCTATTTGTGGGGAGTGAGAGTAGATAACAAAAAAAATATAAAAAAATAAATAAATAAAAAAATGGAATGATTGATAGTCGGCGGGTGGTTAGACAATTTTGAGGAGACGAAATGTAAAGGAGAACACGTATTATGATTCTATCACTTAAAAAAAAATACCCATTTGCAAGTATTTTGATTTTCTCAAACTCTCTCACCAAAAACATATCTGTTAAAAATAAATAGAAAAACTCAAGAACGCTTGGATGAGATGGTTTGAGTCTCTTCCAACTTAACTAGTGGTCTTGTGTTCGAGTCCTGAGAATGCAGCAGTGTTAAAACTCTTGAGGGAGAGCTTTGTCGCCCTTGTGGTCCTACCCGGCTCAATTCCGGATTAGTCGGTTCCTATGTGGATCTGGAAACCGGAAGGTCCCTGTACCAAAATAAATAAATAAAAATCTCTTATTTGAAATATATATATATATATATATATAATTACTAGCTAATAGCATTTAATAAAACCTATTTAATTTCACTTATGTTGCAATTTAACTATTTTCCCTCCAAAAAATCGTTACTATTGATGTAATTTAATATTTCATTTAATTATTAAATAATCAATACTAATCACTTCATAATTACAAAAATCTTTTTAAATTTTTTATCACTGACAGTTGATCATATAATGTGTTGATCGTATAATGTGATTAGATGTGATTATTGCGGTTATATTTAAATTAATTTTTTATTTTAAAATAAAAAACATATTTGAAATTTCAAAATAAATAATAAATAATTCACAAAAAAAAGTACCAAAATATACATTACATCCAATCAGATAAACGCAATTTTTAAAATAAAAATATTCCAACTTCTTTAATTATAAATTTGGCCATCAACAAAGTGAAAGAAAAATAATTAATCATTATATGCATACAAATAACTCATTATATTCCAACTTCTTTTTAATTTTTTTTATTATAAAAGTAGAAATGTATTTTGTATTTCAAAAGTAGGATGAGATTCCAAGACTCAATAGTCAATAGTACATTGTATACCTTTAAAAAAAATATAAAAAATGGAAGGGATCATTTT